CGTTGTACATTTGCTGTTATATTAAAGTTTTTCTTCATTACCCATTCAAGCCGTCTCCAGCCATTATTAGTCTCAAAGTGGGTTCCTCGTCATCGAACATCGTTGATACCTTCAACGTTCTTTTTGTTACCCAGAAACGCAGTATGAAGTCGGTTATTTTTGATTGTTTCAATCATAGATCAGTAGCTTGTTTGATGCTGTTTCGTGATCTACCATATGAATTGATTTCCTTTTAGTCATCTTTATATAACTTATAATATCTAACACACACACACACACATGTATCATTGTAAACTCTAAAACAGATATGGTCCCCGTGAAAATAAATACTTGGTACATTTTATTTCCTGGAGATCACTTGATAAGTGTATTTATACATATTGTGTTTTCTCTCTATTTCTCTGTAGTCCCACCGGTATTGTGGGTACCGAATCAAATAGTCAGAGCTTATCTGGGAGAGCGAGTTCTTCTTAGGTGTTACGTTGAGTCTTACCCAAAAGCCTGGGGTCATTGGAAGAAAGATGCAACACCTATCAACGATTCACTTTTGATCCTGTCTAGCGAAGTGGATCGGGGATCGTACAAGCAACTTTTTGTTTTACATATTTCTTCTATAGACGAAGAATCTTTCGGTACTTACGAATGTAGTGCGAGAAACACGTTAGGGTGGGCTAAAGGAAACATAACATTATATGGTGAGATTTTCTTATATTTTGTTCATTCTTGGAAACATGCAAATTCACTATAAGTTGTTAATAACTAACTAACCAACATGTTTTGTATATTGTAAGTAACTTTTATTTTCTAAATAGTTTAAAAGCTTTATCACTTTACCATGTATTTGATATCTCAGTGATTTTATTACGAAATCTAAATGTGGCTTACTTTTACAAAAAATTTTGTGTTATCTTTAAAGCACAAAAAAATTACATTCCGAAGATTAGTAATAATAATAATTTGTACTTTTAATACAGATTTATTGTTTAAATGCTAGTATACTCATTATTAATACATTTATGCGGGTTTTAGTAAGTCTTCTTCTATTAATTTTCCCAATATTTGTAAGGGCTGCATTTTTTTTTTGATAGTTTATAAATTTGAGAAAATACTGTTCACAAAATTAGATATTATCATTAATTTTGTAACACTTATTAAAATTTCAAGAACGCCCTCGAGCACCTACTACGACGGCGGAACCTTTATTAATGGAAAATCAGAGACAAGTTTATTACGGTTAGTGATGTCCTGTATTTTAACTTTCATAAATATCTGACTTTGTTGTACAACCATAGACGTGTTATTGTGATCACGAAGCAGCAACAAAGGATGTACTTTAAACTTATTAAAATATTTATGTCATTTATTTAAAATATTAATTGTCTTATTATTATTGTTTGCGTTGCGAGTTTTCCTATTTCAAATGTGTAAATAAATAATGACAATAATTACAAGTGCTTATTCGGGGCTCAAAATTATATCCAATCAGGTAGCATGTATCATGTGACGGTTCTGTTCAAACTAAGAAATGTTTGCAGTTAAGTTTGAAAGAAAGATATTTCAGATATTGAGCTCCTTGGGTAGATGGCACATTGTTTTTAATTTTACCTATGATCTATAAAATACCTAATGATATGTCACACGAATATTGCGTAGTGTACTTCCTTTTTATTTTTAAACGATTTGAACAATTGTGGGATATTTAAACTCAATCAGTTATTAACATCCTTGGGAATATTTAAATTCAATCACTAACAGATAATCTGGGGGATATTTAAACTCAATCATTTACTAACAGCCTTGGGGATATTTAAATTCAATCACTAACAGACAATCTGGGGGATATTTAAACTCAATCACTTACAGACAGTCTGGGGGATATTTAAACTCAATCGCATACAGACAGTCATGAAGTATTAGGTCTACTAATGTACTTATGAAACCAATCTTGCAAAACCTTTTATATAGACATAAGGAAAATAAAACCAGGATGTGCAACAAGTTAAAAAAGTTTACGCTAATACTTATCTCGTTCTGATTAATATAAGTAAACGTAAACTTAATTCTTTTTTTTTGCAAAAAATTCAAAACGAGTGTATTTTGCTGTTAACAAGCACCATGTGCTCGCATGTATAACTACATTTTTAAAGACAGATTCCTTGGAGTTTTATTGTTCGTTATAGTTTTATTCATCTATTATCAGAGCCAAACATCCCTCCTTCAACTCCAGTACAGCTTACTTCGACTGTAACTTTCGCTGCTGTCAAAGACCAAAGAAGTTTGGGACATTCAGAGCAAACAAGTAGGTTGTTGAGATTATTCTCACGTGCTGGGTTTCGCGTTATTCCATGTTCTAAATAGACTTACTTTACATTCGCTTATCTTTAGTATTTAATTTCTTTTATTGATCTGCTTGGTTTTTTATATATTTTTCCCATGACCTAGCTGAAATGAAAGTTTTAACTAGAAAAGTGAAACGCATATTTTTATTACATTGTATATTAACTATTGTCACCTTTTATTATACTGTATATTAACTATTGTCACCTTTTATTACACTGTATATTAACTATTGTCACCTTTTATTATACTGTATATTAACTATTGTCACCTTTTATTACACTTTATATTAACTATTGTCACCTTTTATTATACTGTATATTAACTATTGTTACCTTTTATTATACTGTATATTAACTAGTGTCACCCTTTATTATACTGTAGATTAACTTGGGTCATCTTTTATTATACTATACATTAACTAGGATTACCTTCTATTACACTGTATATTAACTAGTGTCACTTTTTTATCATACATTAGATTAACTAAGGGCACCATTTATTATACTGTAGATTAACTGGGGTCACCTTAATTATATTTAGACTAATTAAACTTATATTTTTATTATACTGTAGAATAACTAAGGTTGCCTTTTTTACCGTAAACTAATTAAGGTCATTTATTACTTTAGAGTAAATAAGCTAAGTCTATTTCTTATTATGATGTAACAAGACTGATAAACAGAATTCTAGTTCTGTTATTATCAATTTAGTTATCTGTAAGTACGACTCTAGCCGATTTTACATTGTAGTTCACTAATTTCAAGTGTAGTTCTTCTGAGTTCCTATGTATTATGTTGTTTCCTAGTTGTGCTAATCCGATTCTACATTGTAGTTCCTGATTTTAAGTGTAGGTGTTACTGAGTTGCAATGTATAGATGATGACAAAACCTTGTCGAAACGTTCTACATTTGCTGTTATGTTAAACTTATATATTAAAGTTTTTCTTCATTACCCATTCAAGCCGTCTTCAAGCATTATTAGTCTCAAAGTGGGTTCCTCGTCATCGAATTCAAAAATGTATAGATGTTTCCCAGTTCTGTTGATCTGATACCACATTGTAATTCATTGGTTTCAAGTTTAATTCTCCTGATAATTGTATGTAACTGTTTTATTTCTAATATGTGTTATTGATATATAAATTTTTAGTTGTTTAATCTGTCAGTAACCGATTCTGATCCCGAAGCACGAATGTTGTGAGAAACAAAACAGCTACTGACGTTCTTTGTGATTTTTACTTTGTTTTGTCACCCTCTTGCCTGACGTTACTTATCTTGCTCAAACTGGCGATAATGATTTGAAGTAAAACCCATTAAAATGTTATTATTTACCATGAATAATTAGTAGTTAAGTTCTTTATGTTGTCGTTTCACTTAAGCGACACCAGTTCTTGACTATAACCCCAATTGTATTGATACTGTTAATTTTTCCAGAGAGAAACAACATTAACTCCGGTTCTTCCACGAAGTCAGTTACATTCTTGTTCGTATACTTCCTCTACTACGTTAGTTTCACAGGGAAATTCAGTCAAGACTTTTAGCTTCGTGTAAATGTGAAACATACAGAAGTGTATATTGAGTAAAACTTGATGGATACACGCGAATAAAAATGTCTACATGTTTCTCGGTGTTACGAAGATGTTTATGCTTGTTTCACTATTCATTCTTACGTATAAATGTATAACAGAATATTCGAAATTTCAAACTTGATTTTAAAAGGGTTAGCTCTGACAAACAAATGTTAAATAACATATTTTGTTTAAGCCTCTGCGTTGTACGTTCCTAGAAACCTAAAAAAGAAAAACTCTGATTCACACTTTTTACCTCATTGTTTTACTTCAGGCACAGATGTGTCAATAAAATAACGAACGTTCACATCTGTTAATTCAAGATTAGATTAATAACGTTTTCACTACAGCGTCACCTGGGAAAGAACATTAAAAAAGTTACTGTAAAATTAAGGTCAAAATGATTAGCAGTTATCAGTCGTTAATTTACTGTTACTCAATGATTAATATTTAGAAACTTTTCTAATCTTAATGACAAGTTGAGTAAATTTTATGATAATAGTCTGTTTCTGCAAAAGAAAGCAAATATCATATCACTTTCAGTTTTTTACATGTTGATTTTCTATCTAGCTTTGGGTAATACAACAAAATATTTGATGCGATGTCATGTAACTTACTTTCCTAAAAAAATAAATTAAAAAAAAACAGATATATAATAAGCGCCCTCTATATCAAAACTGGTATTCAATTTAATGATGAAAATTACAAGAAGATTATTAATATTAATTTTTCTATGTAAACAATATGTTACAGCACTTTACAACCTGCCTTCTCAGTGGCTCGGCGGTAAGTTTGCAGACCTCCGACGCTAAAAGTCGGGTTTCGATACCCGAGGTGGCAGAACACAGCCCATTATATAGCTTTGCTCTTAATAGCAAACGTGATTATAAACATTATTTTTATTTATCTATTGATATTCTTTCGCAATAAACGTATTTTTGTACGTCTTTGTTTTCGAGATATTCTCAAAGAAGAATATATTCTATTGGTTGTTAACTTTAGTTGATTATGTCCTACTGGTAATTCTTTCAGTGTCACTTACTATTTATCATTTATCCTTTATCTACTCAATGGCATTTTTATCTCACACTCAATAAATATGATTTTTATAACACCTTCAGATATCCAGTTAGAGATGCTCACTAGGTATCAAATCGGTTAAATATGACAATTATAATTCTTTAATTACTAGATGCTGGACAATTAAGTTAAACTTCCTTATTGTGCACTGAAATTATCAATATGTTGATGACAATTTCTTTAAACTTCTTTTTCGTGAAACTACTCTGTCGGTTTACTTTTCCCTTTCTCTCTGATATAATACAAAACAGGAAAAGAGAGAGTATACAGGGTGTGGCTACTTTATTAGGATTTACACCTAATAATGGGTTGAGCCACCTTTGTGAGAATAACAACCATATGATATTACGTGGCATTGAATCCATAAGGTGCTGGAAGGTGTTGTGAGCGAATTTACCCCATTCCATATTGTAGCGAAGTAGGCAGGGATGTGATGGAGAATTCGTCTTAAGTCCATTCCACAATCGATTGGATTAATGACTGAGAATCGTGGTGGCCAAAGGAGATGTTCCTGAAATCCTCCACGCACAATTTGGGCACGGTGAATGGAAACAATGTCGTCTTGGGGTTAGATCCTGCGATCAGTGTACTCATGAAATGATGCAGAGGTAAGCTGTAACATTAATCCTGCCTTCCGAAGTGACAAAGGGATACAGAATATTCCATGAAAACATGTCCCAAACCATAAATCTACCACAGTTGAGGTATACAAGATCGGTCGAGTGATTCGTGTGGCTTTCTCCAAATCTGGTTTCTCTAGTTTGTGCAAAAATGGGGGTAAAGCATGACTTATAAAATCACATCACATTTCTCCAGAATTTGTGCTCCTTAAACCATTCGACGCATTTTTGCTTGTTAGTTTGCACAATGGTCTCCTACTGCCACAGTCCATTCCTTGTAACATTCTTTGCAAGATACGGCTAGAGATGGGTGTTTATTATCCCGAATTGAATGTCTTTGACCATTGGTCTATTGTTTGATGGCAGAAGGTCATCACTATTCTATCTAACTGCTTTCCTCTTCTTTCTGTCACTTTTTACAACTGTTGATCAACTGGAGTGACCAGTGTCTTAGAGCAGTCTACCAACTAAGCGTTTTGATCACTGTAGTACTTGTTAGGTGTGCACCACCTATCATGCTTCTTTTGAAAGATGCAGTATATTTTCATTTGCCCATATCTGTTAGACTGGCTGCAAATGTACTATTTCCATTCATTTATAGTGTCGCAGACACATCATGTGATCACTATGATTTGCATCTGTGGCTCAAGTTAGGCCTCAAAGCCTAAAACCGTATGCAGATCCTAAATAAAGTGGCCAACCAATGTATATAATGATGTTAATGAGACAATTTATATAATAGTGATTTCTTTATAAACGTTATATATTTCTTGTTTTCAAATGATTATTCTGACTTTATCTTCGTTTACATGTGCTGTTTTAGATACATATATGTATATATCTGTCACCTTAAGAAAATAATAAAATATAACTTTCTGTGATACGGTGTATTGAATTAGAATATGCATTTATTTACAGTCTTCGTAAGGAGAAACTCTCGACAATTTAAATGAATTTCATTTATTTTTATACAAGCATTAGTAGTATAATTGAATGTTAACGTTTTTTTTCTTTATTAGATAAAAATAACAACACAGAACAGGTATATTCCACTCAAATTAAAATAGTTTAGATAGCAATAAAAGATATTTATTTTTTATTTTATCTAAGCGTAAGTAAACGTTGAAATTTTACGTAACAGCTAAGACATAGATCGAAATAAATTACTGTAAATATAAATACTTCGCGAATGATTGCGTTTCAAACTCTTGCTAGTCACTCCTCCATACAATTATTTATAGGAATTAAAAGCGCTCGATAGTCCATTGTGTATCTCTGTGCTAAAAAAAACCAAATAAAAAAGGTGAAGTTAAGTCAAACGTCGTGAAAAGATGGTTATAGAAACCAGCAGTTGAAAAAGTTATTCGTTGTATGTATGACGACTATAAATATCTTTAAATTGTGGGGTTATACATTATTCAGAGCTGGTGCAACACAGATATAGCAATTTTCACTGCTTGCAACGTCTAAAAAAATTCTCATTTCTACACTTGATTTATAGTAACGAAAAGCAACCACTGAAAAAATTGTTTTCATGTACACCTCATAAATCTTTCGTGTTTTTTTTTCAGAAATATATATATATATATATACATACATCCACAGAAAAATTTTATGAATATCTAGCGTTATAACTGGGAGAATGTATTAGATAGTGTGTAGAAGACTGGTAAAGTTAAGCGAGCGCTAGCAGCATATTATACACCCCACAGGTTGCAGGAAGAAAAGAAAAAATCAACATGTCTATCCATCAAGTAGTTTTCATGTCATTTTTGTTCAAGTCATACATTACAGATCATGTCAAAGAGGCGGCATTCAAGCAAAACATTCTTACACTCAGTTTGCTTACCAAGATTTATATATATATACATATGTGTGTTTGTTTATATACTATATATTTCAGCTCCGTATCAGTTAAATCTTTTCATTTTTCGCTTATTTATTTTGAAAACATTTTGTATACCGTATGCTATTATTTCGTTACGTGGAATCACGTAAATAGTCTGTAAACATATCTAATATATTTCAGGAGATACAAACTTAATATATTGGTATATCACTGTACCTTAATTTCAGAGATTTTGTTATTTTAAGTGTTTTGCTTGATGTATTTGTAAGTATTTAATTATGTAATCCACAAAATATCCTGTTAGAATATTTCAACAAAAATAAAATGTAATTACTCTGCCTTCAACTGTATATCTTGTTCCACTCACGTACCATCTTTTTACACATTCATTTATTAGTTTTTCAATAGACTAGTTGTTGTGTAACTTTCTGAGGTGCCATCGATAATTAAATAGTCAAAGAACTAATTTCATTAAATATTTTGTGAAAACAATATGAAGGATACATATATATAGATTGTTAGTCACATTTTATAGAAAAGACTTGTATTTGCTAATGAAACAGTTGTTGTCGCAGGTGCGAACAGTGACACCATGAGCCGTATGTTTAACATCTAAAGATTCAATTCATGGTGAATTTCCAGCCAGTTGAAAATGAAATGTTGTCACGACAAATTATAGCTAAAACGTTATATGCCATAGCTATTCTCAAGAAAATGTATTTGTAAAGCAAGATTGGTAAATGATGTAGAACCAAGGAATATAACATTATAAAGAAGGATAATTTGAATGTTCTCCACAGAAACCGAAAAACACGTACAGCAAAGCTTTTAGAAAAGCAGTTGGGCTCCAATGAAGCTGGGTATATCTCCTGGCATATTTAACAAAATAACAAACAATAATTTGTGTTTGAGTCAAAAGCAACAACTCGAAACCAATGGATCTCTTCGTGAAAAAGATAGCATAAAAAGTGGAATCATAGCACCATTTCCACTACATACCTGGAAAAACTGGAATCACAGCGTTACACAACATACCTAAAAAATTGTGATCATAGCGTTCCACAACATACCTGAAAAACAGGAATCATATCGTTCCACAACATACCTGAAAAACTGGAATCATAGCGTTCCACAACATACCTGAAAAACTGGAATCACAGCGTTCCACAACATACCTGAAAAACTGGAATCATAGTATTGCACTACATACCCGTCACATTCCCCTATTCAGCTCCAAATGGGATTTGTGCATTTGATTTGCTTAAATATGATCTTGATCGACCTTCAAATACAGTGAATGTCCTCTATAAGGTTTGTCAAGAGCTGTAATCCAAAACTGACCTTACCATATTTCGCAGAATGTTGTTATAATAGAAATTAAATTATGGAGCAATAGATCACGATAATCGCCGATCGAGAAAGAAGTTCTAAGGGCAGACCAAGAGCATAATTCTTATAAAGAACAACAAACCTCATTAAAGGCCTTGTTTGAAGAGTGGATGTACCACTAATATTGCAGTTATTATTATCACGTTAAATGTGAGAAATAAATAAAACAAGTATAACGTTTGTACTGCCATAAGTCATCCGGTCCAGACATTCGTTTCTAACACTGCAATCTAATCCTAATTATTAAGTAGTATACGAGTTATACGTATGTATATACTTTACTGATATAACTATTTCGTATGAATAAATCTATAGAACTGGTTGTTGTTTTTTAATCTCACGCTAACCGTTAATTAAAATCATAACATATGTGCATCAATGTTAAAGTTGCGATGTACAGATTTAATTTCAACCTTG